AATTACTCTATCTTCAACTTGAAATTCAAGTGGTTTTCGTCAAAAGTTGGTGTATTTATTTTGAAGATTACGTGCTGTTCTTAATCGTTACTTGATCTTTTCGATCTTCTCGGTGGTTTCATGAATAATTTCTGGTCCGGTTAGCAAAGTGTTCCATGCGTGTTTCTTTGCTAGTTGAGTATCACCAACTTCTGCCCAATATATCAGTGAACGTTACTTTCTGCCATAAAGTGATTCAAAGGGTGCAACATTTATAATCGAGTGATAACTATTGTTATAGTAGAACTCAACCAATGGGAGGTGAGTATCTCAAGCCTCTCCAAAGTCTATCACACATGCTCTGAGCATATCCTCCAAGGGTTGTATGGTCCTTTCGCTTTGACCATCTGTCTGCTGGTGATAGGCTGTACTCATATCGAGTCAGGTTCCCAATGCCCTTTGCATTGTTTGCCAGAACCGGGACGTAAATTGGTTGTCTCTGTCTGAGATGTTAGATGTTGGTACGTCGTGTAGCCGCACTATCTCCTTGACGTAAGTCTTGGCTAGCTTTTCCGTTTTGTTTGTTTCCTTGATTGGTAGGAAATGGGCAGACTTAGTCAGACAATCAATTACTACCCAAATCGTGTCGTAACCACTAGGCATCTTGGGTAGTTTTTTTTAATGAAGTCCATGGCGACTTGCTCCCATTTCCACTCGGGTATTACTAGTTGTTGCAGTAAACCCGATGGTTTTTGGTATTCTTCCTTGACCTTAGCTTAGGTCAAGCATTTGTTCATATAGGTGTCGATTTTTGGCTTCAAGTTTGGCCACCAATACCTTTTCTTTAAGTTAAGATACATTTTATCAGATCTTAGGTGAACCGAGTATCTTGTCATGTGAGCTTCGTACAGAACTAGGCTCCTGATTTCGCCAAATTTTGGTACCCAGATTCAGTCCATGAAACATCAGGTTCCATCTTCATTGGAATCGAATTATTTCTCCATGGACTTGAATTATTTCTCCATACCTCGTAAGCATTCCCCTGCTTGTTTTTTTCCTTAATTCTATCTACTTGTGCTTCTCGGATTTGGGCAGGGAGGTTTGATTGAATGATTAGAGTGAGTGCTTTCACTCTACGTGGTTTGACTCGTTCCTTTCTACATAGGGCATCGGCTACTATGTTATCCATGTCCGGGTGGTATTGAATCTCGTACTCATAGTCGTTCAACAGTTCAAGCCATCTTCGTTTTCTCATTTTGAGTTCTTTTTGGTTGAAGATGTGTTGGAGGCTTTTGTGGTCGGTGTATATGACACACTTCGTTTCATACAAATAGTGTTGCCAGATCTTTAAGGCGAAAATTAAAGTTCGCAATTCCAAGTCATGGGTGGTGTAATTATTTTCGTGAGTCTTAAGTTGGCATGAAGCATAAGCGATCACTTTGTCTCTTTGCATAAGTACGCATCCCATGCCCTGGTATGATGCTTTGTAACAGATGACAAAGTCTTTGTTCCTTCCGGAAGTGAAAGAATTGGCGCACTACACAACATTTGTTTCAGTTTCTGAAACGCAGATTCTTGCTGTTCCTTCCATTTGAACTTCGTATCCTTCTGCATGAGTGTTGTGATGGGTTTGGTTATATATGAGAATTTTTTTTTATAAATCTCCTGTAATAGCTGGCCAATCCTAGAAATTGACAGACCTCTTTTGGCATTGTGGGTGCTTCCCTATTCTTTATGGCTTTGATCTTGGAAGGGTCTACGTGAACGCGTTTGTCGCTGACTACGTGTCCTAAAAAATGTACTTCACTGATCCAAAATTCACACTTGGAGAATTTTGTGTACAATTTCTCCTTTCTTAATAACCCCAAAATGATTCGAAGGTGTTGACCGTGTTCTTCCTTTGTTTGTGAGTATATCAATATATCATCGATGAATACGATCACGAATTTTTATAGGTAGGGTTTACAGACATGGTTCATTAGATCCATGAAGACTGGTGGGGAATTAGTTAAACCGAAAGGCATAACTAGAAACTCGTAACGACCATAGCGAGTACAAAATGCTGTCTTTGTGATGTCTTCCTCTTGTACTCAAAATTGATGGTACCCTGACCTTAAATCAATCTTTAAGTAAATCCTAGACCCTTGTAGTTGATCGAGTAGGTTGTCGATCCTTGGGAGTGGATATCTATTCTTGATTCTCAACTTATTCAATTCTCGATAATCGATGGACATTCTGAAGGTTCTGTCCTTCGTTTTGACAAATAGCACCGGGGCTCCCCAGGGTGAGAAGCTTGGTCTTATGAAGCTTTTATCTAAAAGCTCTTGAAGTTGACCAGACAACTCTTGCATTTATGAAGGGGCTAATCGGTAAGGATATTTTGACACATGCGCTGCCCCTGGAACAAGGTCAATTTGAAATTCAACCTTGCGAATTGGCGGTAGTCCGGGAAAGTCCTCCAGAAATATAGAGGAGAGATCACATACTTGGGGTATGTCTTTTATTTCCTTTTTGTCGCCCCCCTTATCTACAATGCAGGCCAAGAAAGTGTGATATTTCTTGTGAATGTATTGTTGCGCCTTCATGCAAGAGATGATTCTAAGGTTTTTGCTGGGCTTATCTCCGTATATTACTAAGGATTCCCCGTTGGGTTAAGGTAATCGTATTGATTTGTCATAGCATAAGATCCTGGATCGGTGCGGTGATAAGCAATCCATTCCAATTATGACATCGAAACTTCTGATGATCATAGGCATGAGGTTGAGTGAAATGTGCGGTGGTTGAGAGTTAGAAGGCAATTTTCTTGCATTTCCTGAGTACTACCGGATTCTCCGTTGGTCATTTCTACCATATAAGGTTCATCTAAGCTCCTAGACTTATGGCTTAAAAGTTCTCTAAACTTAGGTGTAATGAAACTTCTTTCAGCACCAGAATCAAAGAGTATAGATGCATATAAACCGTTAACAGGAAATGTACATGTCACAACGGTGGGGGTCCTAAATGGCATCCTTTGCGCCAATCACAAACGCTCTTCCCCAGGCATTTCCTCCATCGTTCCTCATCTCGGGGTAGTTCCTCTTGATGTGCCCAGTAATCCCACACTCAAAATAGGCTCGATTGTATGGCAAGGCAACCACCAATGGGGTTGTTGTGGCAGCAGGAGCGTTCCTGGGCTGTCGGTAATATTTTATGGTATGCCCTCTGCGATTACACCTGTTATAGTGTATGCAGTTTTCGGAGTGGTGGAAGTGACACGATGTTCATTTCGGGTGTTTGCCCACGTACTGTCCTTGGGGTGTGGCGGTTGTAGCCGGTGTTGAGGCTAAACTGATGGCGTATGCCCTGACGGTTTCCTGCCTCTTGCTTGGAGCTTGTTTTGAGGTACTCTTGAATCCGATTCCGGATTTGTGCTTGTTTTCCCCTAGCTTTGTATGCTAACCTCTTGGTACTATCATATGTTGTTGGTCAAGATGCTATAACCAAACCTTTGAATGGGTTGAACCAATCCCCATATATACCTTTTCACCTTCTTGTACCCGGGATTCACGAAGTTTGGACAAAGGGTCGCAAGATCTTTGAACCTGTTGGTGTAGGTTGAGATATTGGCATTGCTCATTGTCAAGTTCCACAACTCTTGCTCTAATTGTTGCATTTCTTCCCGAGGGCAATACTCCTCGATGAATATTTGCTTCAGTTTCTCCCAGGTTAGGGCATTAGCATTTGCGAGACCCGTGGTCTTGACATGGCCGTTCCACCAAGAGATGGCCACATCCGCAAAAGTGCAAGTGGCGAACTTAACCTTGCTTCCCTCGGCAAGAGCTGATTTCGAAGATAGAATCAGTCTTATCGATCCATATTGTGAGGCCTACAACTCCCTCGTTCCCATAGAACGTCTTAGGCTTTTAGTTCATAAAGTCCTTGTAGGTTAATACTCTTGGAGTACCTTGATCGTTTCCTTAGGAGCTTTCACCTCCCGCTCCCGTCCCAGAGTTTGTGTGGCAATTATTTCCAAGTGTGGATAGAGCATCAGCTATCCTTTGCTCCACCATTGCCTCAATATCCGCGTGGTCTAGAGGTGGGTTACTCTGAGCAGACTGGGCATCTTGCTCAACTTGAAGACCTTGGCTAGATCTGGTAATTCTTGGGGGTGCCATTTCTATATTCCTAAAGTTAGTGTCGAGATGTGAGTTATTTGGTCACAAGAAGTAAGTTCGCATCCTCATGGTTATGGTTATGTCGTGGTGTGTTTGTCTTAGTGTTAATGGAAACAGTAATAACACAATAACACAGATTTCATGCAACCATGTAATTATATTATGCATCATATTATCATACAAAGAGACCAACAAAACAAAGGGTGGTTAGAGTATGAAAAGCTCTGATGTTACAAAACAAATGTATATAAGCTTTTCCAGTACTCTAACCCAAAAAAATATATGTATCAATCCTAGCCATCGTGATAGGGTATAGAAAATAAAACTAGTATCCGCAGTACACTATCAAGAGATCCATTAATTGAACGAACTGTCTTACACATAATCAATCCAAACATCTGAAAAAGAAACTTGTGACTCCGTCCTCTCCACCTTGGAGCTCCAACACCTGATGATGAAACTGGGCCTCATCCCTCATCTCCTACAACTGGTCCTGAATGATTAGGGTCCTCATCTCCATCACATCCCTCTCCTCCTCCTTATACTATACCCGCTTCTTGAGCTGCCTTAGGGCCATCCTCAACAAAATGAGCTCAAAGTCCATCGCCTTTATGCGATCCGAGTGACGGGCGGTCCGTGGTACCAAGATGGAGATAACCTTTCGACCAGAGTGTCCGGGGTAGGGGTAGGTGATGTAGAGGACTCCCCAACCTTAGAACGCGAGCCGATATCCTCCTCATGCATCCAAGCTCGTATCTGAGGTATCCAAGAGAGAATAACAATAGTCTTCCTCGGGGTTTGTTTCACCCGAGTACCCATGTGTGCTCTGAAATATCGATGTGAAGGTGTGGGGCGGGGTGGTGAGATTTATAGTGAGGCGGCAGAGTCCTCCTCGTCCTCGTCCAGCTCATAATCGGAACTGAGAATCTCAAGTCCAACTGGTGTGTAGTCTGGTGAATGGGATGGCTCGGACGGGTGTTCAACTGGAGTATAGTCGGGCTCGATCCCATCATTATCATCTGTAGGCTCCTCCTCAAAATTCATGATCTTCATCGGGGTGTAGATAGGGTCTGAAGCACCAAGTACTGCATGCTCCAACTCTAACAAGGAAGCTGCACTCCACGATCCTGCGCCTGCCATATTCTCGGGCAAACCTGCATAATACATCAAACAGGAAAGAAGTTTATGAGAGATGTGAAGATCAATTAAATACTATATAAAATCCAATTATAAGTATGTAATAAATAGTACCGTAACTCCAAAGTCTCCTTACTATGTCATATAAGTCACGAATAGTGGTTCTTAAGACAAAACGTCCTCAAGTGTAGATGTCGTTAAGCCAAAAATCCTCAGATGCATAAGTCTCTAAAAGAAGTCTCTGAGTAAATAATACTTGTCTATGCATCCAATCCAGAAGTACTCAAGCGTTTAGACTGCCAACGACCGTATCCGAGTTCGGTTGTGTATCGGTCGGACCATAATAAAACTTAGTTGCGCATTCTAGGTCCAGTTGTGGTACGACCGCTGTACTATACCAACTCTAAACATGGTTTTTGACTTAAAATCCTGAGTTGTGACTTCGTGGGTTCATGTAGGTGGGTAGTAGATATACTTATATGAGTGTATCTATATCACTCTATATCTTTTAATCTTCGTTGGGTTATGTATATGATAAGTACCAGAGGGTAGTATCATTTTAGCATATTGCCGTTCTGAAATCCAACAACCAAGCGATAGTTCAAACTAGTCTCCTCTCCTATTAGTAGTCAAGAAGTAGGGTAATTAATTTTAATACTTTTTATTAGGCTTAAAGGTTTAAACCTAATTAGAGTGTAGTCCCTAGATTATAGTTGTATTTCCTAAGGAATTACTAGTTCACTATAATCTGAAGCTCTGATACCAATCTGTCACACCCCTGACTGGCGGCGGAAACGCCAGGCTGTGCGACGTTAGGATGTTGGATTTTAGACCAAGACATACATTAAATATACACTAATATATTAAACACCGTTTCTATTTATTCATTAAATAAAATATGTTACATAGCTATTCGGGGTACATGTAGGTCACAAAAGCAAAGTACAAAATTAAAGCACATAAGAATAAATGTGGCTTTTGAAAGGTCAACATAATGTTGGTGAGTTCACAATTTTTATGGTTATGAAACATTGTGTGGGTAGTTTAGTTATCTTGTGTATCCTAAACTCACATCCTCGAGTTTGTGTATACGATCACCACTTTCGTAGGTTGATTACTAGAAGTAGTCTA